GTTATTTGATCTAGAGCCACTGAAAAAAGAGTCGGCAGTACATTTGCGTACGCTAATTGACACGGTATCTGGTTATTTAAAAGCGCTCGAGTCTTTAGGACAAACTCCAGACAGTTGGRGCGCATTGTTATCTCMTTTAATAACGTCAAAACTGGACGCAAACACGAGACGAGCATGGGAAAGCGAAGCGACCARGATGGAAGATTGCGGAGTGCCAATACTAATAGATTTTTTAAAATCACGTTTTCGAATTTTGGAGGCGATAGAATCAAATAAAAACATGAATACACAGGTACTAACRGACATTCCAAAGTTCAAGAAATCAGGCGACAGGTCTTCATCATTTACAACTACCACATCTTTCAGATGCTATAATTGCAATGGCTCRCACTCAATTTATAAATGTACCAAATTTCTAGCACTCACAATACTAGAGAGAATAAAAAGAATTAATGACTTAAAATTATGTAACATATGCTTACGCGCACACTCCGACAAATGTAAGTCACGTAATTGTCCGAAATGCGCGCGTCCACATAATGGTTTGTTGCATGCGTCGCGCGCTAATAATAATAATATACATACAGGCGGTGCGAGGAACGGCGGCGAATCGTCCAACACCACTCCACCTGCGGAGAACGATAGAAATGATATCGCTAATGAGGCAATGATTAATAGCGCACCCGCATCGGTAAATGCTCATGCACGTCAAAATAGTGAAGTAGGTMAGGTATTGTTATCAACGGCCGAGATTCTCGTATTCGACAGTCAAAATAAACCGGTTTTGTRCCGTGCGTTACTGGATAGTGGATCGCAGCACAATTTTATGACCGAGTCATTGACCCGGCGTTTAAATTTAAAACGAATAAAGTCATCGTGTTCGATAATCGGCATTAATGATGCATCGCATACGTCTACGTACAAAGTAACAACTACTATTAAATCGCGTATATACGACTATTCATTAAATTTGGAATTTTTTGCACTTCCCAATTTAACGAGCAAGTTACCGTTGATGCCGGTTAATCTGACAGAACTGAAGATCCCGGTGGATATAAGCTTGGCGGATCCATCTTTACACGTGCCTAAAAAAGTAGATATCATTTTAGGCGCCGAAATATATTTTGAATTACTAACTAAAGAACAAATTCAGACAGTTTCACGGGGGCCAATTTTCCAGGGCACTCGTTTAGGTTGGATCATCGCGGGACCCATCCCTTCGCCAACAAATCAAGCCGAAAACTCAACATTTTCATTATGTACGAGCGTAATGTCCGAATTCGCAAATATAGAAAATCAAATTGCCGAATTTTGGCGCTTAGAGGAGGTAAAGAATTGCAACGTATACACATTAGAGGAAAAAAGGTGTAAACAACATTTCGAGTTAAATGTAAAGCGTGGTGAAGACGGGCGTTTTACAGTAAGTCTACCTTTTCGTGACAATGCTCCTAGATTAGGAAAATCKCWTGACGTAGCCCTTCGCAGAATGTTATCATTAGAACGACGATTTCAAAYCGATACCAAGCTCAAGGAAGAATATAGCAAATTTATGAAAGAGTACTCCGAACTTGGACTCATGGAAATAACGCAAAACACGATTCCAGATGATAAAGGTTATTATTTACCGCACCATGCAGTTCGCAACGAAAGCAGTACCAGTACTAAACTGCGCGTGGTTTTCGATGCGTCGGCGAGAACAAGTACTGACGTAAGTCTAAATGATGTGCTTCTAAAGGGACCTAACGTACAAGAGGATTTGATCTCTATAATGACGTGATTTCGTATACACAAATACGTATTCACAGCTGATATAAAMAAAATGTACCGGCAGATTTGGGTGTCGGAAAGCCAACGTGATTTCCAGCGCATTTTGTGGCGTGAAGACCCGAGCCAGCCACTAAATATATATCGACTAAAAACTGTTACGTWTGGCATAGTCACCGCTTCATACCTGGCAACGGCATGTTTACAAAAATTATCCGAMGAAGAGTCGTCAAAGTTTCCCGAAGCCTGTCAGGCCCTAAGTCGTGATTTCTATGTAGACGATTTTCTCGGCGGAGCCATGTCAAAACAGTCTGCATTAAGATTACG